TTACCAACGACTCCGAGGGCTCAATGCGGTCTTATCTTGCTATCCGCGATCTTGATGTCCTCTAGAGCCTTGACCTGGCCGGGGATGATTCTGATGCCCCGATTTGACACCATGGAGCCGAGAAACTTACCTGTGCCAACTCCGGAGGCACGTTTCTCTGGGTTGAGCTTCATGTCGCATCGCCCCGAAACGTTGACTGTTTCCTGAAAATGAATTAAAATGGTCCTCTGCGCACAGGGACCTAACCAGTCATATCATCGATAGAGGCTTTCATTATTTACCTGTTTGTTCTTCGAACATCCTGTTGACTGGATGTTGATACGAGGCTTTTCGATCTGAGGGCCTCCCTTTTTGTTTCACTGGTTTAAACCTGGGACTTTTGCTCAGCCTATGTGTGGTGATTTCCGGCGGAATTCCTGTCATATCTAAATGGGACCAAGCAATGCAATCCATATTATTAAAAAGAAACTAAATGAGTTTTTTCCTGAGTTCGGGGGTTAATCCCGTTCCCAGGTGTACCTTTCTCTTGAGCAGTTGACTTGGTAGCATCGGGCTTCTCGGGATCAACGAAGGTTCGAGAAGCTAGGGAGTTCCCTTCTTCGCCTTCGGTTACCTGTTATCCTGCTTCCGTCTAGGCTTGGAGCTGTGATTGCTACTTAGCCACCTATTTACTTTTGGGGCTCGACTTTTCCGGGGCAAGGGTTCCGGTATCGGCACCACTTCCTCGATTGCAAACATCTCTTTTGCAGCATGCTATTCTCCGTGGACTGTTTTGACTCCTTCCTCTATTGGGAACTTCATCATCTGATGGAGAGTCGAAGGCACTGCCCTTATGTTATGTATCCATGGCCTCCCGAGGAGTGCGTTATACCTCATGTCACCTTCGATGACATGGAACCTGGTGTCTTGTATGGTCCCGGCTACGTTTACTGGCAAGATAATTTCTCCCTTCATTGTTTCACTTGCCATGTTGAAGCCATTCAGCACCCAGGACGCGGGTACAATCTGATATTTCAAGTCGAGTTGTTTCACGACCCTCGATCTGATTATATTCGCAGAGCTACCTGGATCCACTAAAACACGTTTAACCTGAATTTTATTTAAAAGGATAGAGATTACCAAGGCGTCGTTGTGAGGCTGGGATACATCCTCTGCTTCCTCGTCACAGAATGATAGAGCGTCCTCGGGCACATAGCTCCGAGTCCGTTTCTCCTTTGTGATGGATACTTTGGTACATCTGAATATAGGTCCCTGTGGGACATCGACTCCACCAATGATCATGTGAATGACATGTTGAGGTTCTTCAGGTTCATTCTTCCTACTTGTATCTCTTTCTCGGAAATGGTTCTTGGCCCGGTCGCTAAGAAATTCACGAAGGTGCCCCTCGTTGAATAATCGGGCTACCTCCTCTCTAAGCTGCCTGCAATCCTCGGTCTTATGCCCGTGAGTACCATGATACTTACATATTAAGTTGGGGTTTCTCTGAGAAGGATCGGTCTGTATAGGCTTGGGCCATCTAGTATCTCTAATTTTGCCAATGGCTGAGATGATACCCGAGGCGTCGACAATGAAGTTGTATTCTGATAATCTGGGTGCCTCCACTGGTCCCGAGTGCCTACCAAACCCGTTTTTGCTCACGAGTCCCCGGGAACTTTGGCCTCAATCTGCTCTTCGATCATTCCGAGGTATGTTGCGCCTTGAAATGTTCCTTCGATCTTCGACGTACGGTTGATACCATTCTTTGTTGAATCTTGATCCCCGATCTGTGTCTCTCGGGGTCTTAGCTGCTAATCTATTAGGATGAACTGAGCCCGAGGGGGCTCCCAACTGGTCGTCCTCGACCCTAATTTTTGACTGATAACGATTGTGCACATCCGACCATGTCACGTCTGGATATTCGATCAAGTTCTACTTTAGCTGTCGAGGTGCAATCGAGCTTCTTTCATTCAAACCTTGCATAAAGGCTAAACTGCCCAGTCATCGGAGACCGGTGGTAATTCCATTCTTTCCATCTGAAATCGGGACACAAACTCCCTTAGCATTTCGTCATCCCTTTATTTTATTTTGAAGACGTCTAATTTTCTTGTGGCCACCTTTATGGCCCCGGCGTGTGCTTTCACGAAGGCGTCCGCCAACATAGCAAATGAATCAATAGAGTTAGGAGCTAAGTTGTGATACCAGATCATAGCTCCTTTTGATAGTGTTTCCCCAAACTTTTTCAATAATAATGACTCGATTTCATCATCATTCAAGTCATTTCCTTTGATTCCACAAGTGTACGAAGTAATATGTTCGGTAGGGTCAGTTGTTCCGTTATATTTCGGTATATCGGGCATGCAAAACTTCTTGGGAATGGGCATTGGAGCCGCACTTGGGGGGAAAGGTTTTTGTATAAATTTTTTCGAGTCCAGACCTTTCAAAATCAGAGGTGCTCCAGGTATCTGGTTGACCCTTGAATTGTATGTCTCCACCTTTTTGTCATTTTCTTCCATTTTCTTTTCTCCGGACTCGATTCTTTTGGTTAGTTCTTCGAGCATTTTCATAACAATGGGGTCAGTCCCCGAGCCATTTTCATCGGGCCTTTCTAGCGCTGGTTCAGCACGCCGAGTGTTTACTGGTTCGGCTGTGTGTGGAGTTCTATTCTGACTCTGAAGTTGAGCGATGGCGACTTGCTGAGCTTACAGCATCTCGAATATCACTTGGAGGCTGACTCCCCCTCCTTCCATTCCTGGCGTTCCTTGGTCTCCTGGCCAAGCTTCCCTGTGCATTCTTTACGGGGTCTGTGTCTGCGTCCGTGTTTAGAGCGTTATGCGAACTGATATCAACTGGCTCCATATTTGGTACTCCCTCAGGGTTTATGGGTGGTACACCGACCCCTATACCGCTGTTTTCTCCGAGTCCCTCACTGTCATGAGTAGGTGCGTTTTGTTTACTAGACATATCTTAGCCTGAAATCAAAGAATCTTTGACAAGAAAAAGTGTGAAGAATAACGTGTGTTATCAGGAAACTAGCACTAAAGTAATCACTATTATCTTTAGCCCCACGGTGGGCGCCAAACTGTTTACCTCGAAAAATGTGAGTAACAATTAAAGATATTTTGTGATTTTAAAGATATGTGATATATTCTAATACTATCAGATATACAAGTAATATCAAGTTTAAGTAAGAAGAATTGATGAACCAAACCAGTGTTGTTAGAGCAATAAGGACCTCGAGCTCGATTATCTCAGGGGCCTCGAGGTGAGCTAAGAGCAATAAAGTATGAACAATAAAGTAAAGGCAATAAAGCTGAAGAACAATTGTTGAGCACGGTAAACAAGAAAAGCAGAGTAGAATGTTCTATTGTAGAGAATGAGATATCCTTACAAATGATTGGGGTCCCCTTTATATAGGAGGGGAAAACCCTAATATGGTAAATTTTTAATTATGATAAAGAATTCTATTAGTACAGCTGTATAACAACCTAGTACGGACTTGTACCATTTCGTACAAATCTTATCCTATAATTTAAGCCCTGACCCACGTGTCCTTGAGAAATTCCCGCTCTTTCTTGAGTGTCCTCGAAATTGTATTGCCCTCGAGGCAGATCATGACGGGTCCCCGATTTGCTTCTCGGGCCTGGCTTGATTCTTACTTCGAGCTTCCAGAACTCGGACTCGGAGTGTAATCCAATCTTAGAAATCGAGCTCTCCGATTTTTACCGTATACACTATACAAAATTCTAATTAAGAATAAGTAAAAAATTTAAAGTTAAATTATTTTCAAACATATAAATCTATCGTTTCTTTTAGATTTACTAAAAAATAGTGTCATATAAAATATATAGAACAGTGATAGTACCTTTTTGAGTTTTTGACCAATATTGTCCCTTATCTTTGTGGCTAGGTCTATTTTGGTCCCTCAAATATAATCCTGAGCATATTTAGTCCCTTAAGTATGCTAGAGTAGAGCACCTTTAGTCTCAGTGACAGAATGTGTTAAAAAACTAACGGTGTTAACCAGCTCTGATTCATAAAGCAATTCTTCTGCTCTGAAGCAAAACGTTTCCTCTTCTTTTATTGGATAACGAAAATTATCACTTTAATTCCTTATTTTTAGATAATGTCTTCTAAAATTTTGTCCTTGAAAATCCCCTTTGGTGCCAGTTTTCAATGAGAAAATGACACTATATAGCCGCTGTAAAAATAATATCCGAAAAAATATGTAAAATTTGTATATTATTCTGTATGTATATACATTTTGTATGTTAATACACAAAAATTATACAAATTTTATATACTTTTTCGACTACCAGATATAAATAGTTTCTGGCGCGGGCTAAAAGTTATAATACAATCTGGTTATTCGTTTAGAAGTGATCTTGGCAGCTCTATTATTTTCAAATTTTAACTTTTCTTTTTGGAAAAATCAACCGAAATTTTTAAAAGTAAAAGTTTCAACGTTAAAATCTTAAATTTATCAGCTCTGTACAATTAGTGGGTGTTGGTTTATAAAATATTATCGATAAGTAAATTAAAAAGGCGGTGAGTGCCGAAACCAACCCCGTTAGTTTTTGAACACATTCTGTCAGTAAGACTAAAGGTGTTCCACTTTAGCATGCTTAAGGGACTAAATATGCTCAGGGTTATATTTGAGGGACCAAAATAGACCTACCCTAAAAAATAAGGGACAATATTGACCAAAAACTCGTACCTTTTTTATCTATTAATATAAAGTTTTTATATGCGTGTGTTTTTACATTTAGTAAATATTCAATATTTACATTCTATCATTTCGTCACATGACTTATCGTTGGTATATTGAATAGAAAAACCTATTCTTTTTTAAATAAATCTTGCTATTTTCAAACATTAAATTTCACAAGGCAGAAGAAAAACAAAATTTACGCTTAATTTCCATAATTGGATACCTATCTATGAGAATAAGAAATATCACTCCACACTGTTCTGCGCTTTTCACTTTCCCCTTTCAGATGCATATGTGCTTTCAAAGTGACTAAACTTGCAAAAAGTTATAGAACTTCGGCTATACCTTAAATGGAGTCCCAAAATCGGCTATTTGTGCACTTGCCTAAGCAACCTAGTCCAAATTAGGAGCCCACTTCAAATCCCCGGGTATTTCCTCTTTGGCCATCCGAATTAGAAACTCCGATCTCTCTCTCCGGCGAAACCGATTTGTAGGTTCGTTCTCTCCCCCTCAATCTCCACTTTTTATTTTATTTACCAATAATCATTCTTGGTAAAATACGAATTAGATCTTTTCCATAAGAGTATTTATATGCACTTTGCTTCTATAAGCTCAGCTCCGATTTTTACTATATTTGTTAATTTTTACGTATTAATTTGCAAGTTTATTTTCTATGTGATAATGGCTCCAAAGTTATGATCTTGTACCTACTAATCAATTTTCTGAAACTTTTTTTTACGAGGGGGTTGGGGGGGGGGTTGGGGGGAGGGGAGGCAAAAAGCACTAGCTGATTTTTCCCCCATGTCTTGGTGGATGGTGTCACCCGATACCTGTTTTGGTGAGAGGTAGCAGGTATACCGTAAAATAGTCGAGGTGTACGCAACCTGGTCTAATGCACCACTGTATCAAAAAAGAAATGATTGTGAGTTTTCAGTTATTACTATGAAATTAACCTTTTATTTCTTTTTTTATACCGATGGTGTTTGGACCAACTTGCGTGAACCTCGACTAATCTGTGGCCTGTGGGGTTGTCTATCCAGCACACAAGTACATGTTTTGTCTAGTGTTGCAGCTGAGATGAACTTGGGATCTGCAGGTTGTTAATCACATGCTGCAACCACTAGACCATTCCCTATGTGATTCATGATAAAACTCAATTCTCGGGCCATTCTGATTATTCAAACAATAAATTTTAATTTTTAGTATAACGTTTTTGTTATGTTGCCTTATCTCAGTTATTCTCCAATACAGACCTTTAGTTGATATTAGTTTGTTAGAGAACGTGATAGTTAATCTATAATGACTAGTTATTTCTCATGATTATTAAGGAATAGAGCTTTAAAAGACAAGTTATTTATTGCCAGAGTGAAAATGTGCCCAAATAAAGCGGAATCGTTACGGATCATTCATATAGTGGATCCTGACTAGTTTGGAGGCGTGGTATGTTGATTGATTGTGTATTAGTGAGGGTACTATCTACAGCTTCGTACTGCCCTCAAAATCCCCTTGATGACATTTGAAGAAAAATTGTGAGAGCTAAGGGATCACTATGATATCTAAGCCTCTGTAGAGTAGTAGATTGTATAAACGGATATTGGAGACAATCCCGAGAATGAGCTTGTGTATAATGCACGTATAGAATCTAAGTTCTGTCATCCCCTTTGATGTCTTTGTTCGTTAATGGTGCCCACATAAATTTGCAGGAAATGTCATTCTTAAAGGATATTCTCATTGGTTCTGAAGCTCATTTTGTGGTGCTAATTGTACAGAGCTCATCAAAATTTTCAGGTGTGGAGTTAAAATTTGCAACATATGGTTTCATGCGTACTAGCCTTTGGTGACTCAGATTGAAATAATTTTTGTATTTCGACGAGAGGTTTGTTTGACTTATTGGTGTGAAATGGCAGAACTTTTTGGATATACAGCATGCAGACAATTATCGCAAATGTTCATTTCAATAATATTCTTCCATGTTTCCGAGTACATTCTGGCACTTTTCATTCATGGGAAGTCAAACGTAACTCTTAAGTCGCTTTTGATAAGCAAACATTATCTACTGGCAATGATATGCTCCTTGATAGAGTACCTCATTGAACTCTATTTCTTTCCTGGCTTAAAGGAATATTGGTGGATAAGTAATTTCGGCCTTGCATTGGTTGTTCTTGGAGAAATCATAAGGAAGCTGGCAATTGTGACCGCAGGCGTAGCCTTCACTCATCTAATAAAGGTTTATCACGAGGAAAGTCATCAGTTGGTTACACATGGGATCTATAGATATGTCCGGCACCCTGGTTATAATGGTTTCTTCATCTGGTCTATTGGTACTCAAATAATGCTTTGTAATCCAATATCAACCATTGCATTTGCAGTTGTTGTGTGGAAATTCTTCTCGGGGAGGATACCTTATGAGGAATTTTTCCTAAAGCAGTTTTTTGGTTCTGACTATGAGGATTATATGAGAAAAGTCCCTTCTGGTATTCCATTTGTGAGGTGATTATTCAACAAATCCTCTTGAGGCCACTATATATATACCCAGTATCCTTGTTTATTGTGGTTTCCTCATCTGATCGTCCGTGCTCAGATAGTCTTCTGAATTCTATACCAACTGCAGCATCTTAGGATGTAGTCTAGGAATTTTATTCTTAGACACTCTTACGATTCTCTGAGATACCACTTCCGAAGTGATGCTTATGTTAACCTCTGTGGAGTGTTTTTGTCTTATTTGTATCATCATGTTTTCATAGTATCATGTTATTGTTAGGTAGCTAGGTGTTCCTAACCTTTGCTCAATATGTTGTTCTTGGTCTTTGATAATTGATAGCCGAGGGTCTATCGGAAACAGCCTCTCTACTCCTCCGGAGTAGGGGTTACGTCTTCGTACACACTATCCTCCCCAGACCCCACTTGTGGGATTCCACTAGGTTGTTGTTGTTGTTGTTGCTCTTTGATAATTGATAGGAGGCTTATAGAGAAGTTATGATCCAACGCATGAGGTAACTTTGCTAGTTCTTTTGACGAGCTGTAAGTTATCTATATTATGTAGTTGTCATGGCTGATGGGTGCAGCTTTTTATCATATTGTTAAGGAGAAAGGTGTTGTAACATTTTCTCTGATTTGACAAATTCACCTCATCTCAATTGTGGTTGGTTTCTTTCTGTTGCCTTTTATTCAAGCATTAGCCATCTCGTACAGCAGTATTACCCACCCCCCCGACCCCACCCCCCACCCCAATTTGTTTGGCTTGATGAGGAAAAGTTGGTCTATCTTTGAGTGAGTTTTGGTCTATCTATTAGATTTTCAGAAACATGGGCCATATTCTGTCTTCAATCTACTAAAAACATTGTGGTAATTGTTTCTCTAGAAGTTTGTCGAAGAAGAATAGCACCGGATGCTTGAGACACACTAATACGCTTGTTTCAGGAAAGAAAGAACATGCACCTAAAACATATAATTATGAGAAAGATTGTAAGCAGTGGTGGCAAAATAGATTTAAAAAAAAAAAAAAAAAGTTATTCATCCATATCATCCACTAAAAATGGGTTGGTTAATGAACTTTTTATAAACAGGTTAAATATGAATAAGAACCACATTATTCACTTAGAAAATGGATAACTAATGAGTTTAACTTTAGGAAACTACTAGCTATGTCCATTTATAAGTAGTTTATTATATAAATTGGCTAATTCATAAAATATTACTAATATTAGTTAATTAGCTATTTAAATTTTTGCTTTTTTTGAGTGGGTGTTATTAAATAGATTGGGTGCATCTTAAAGAACTTGAATCTCAATTTTAGGATGATTTGGGGAAGTTTTGAGGTGGTTTGAATTGAAAATTTAAAGTAGGAGATGAACATGAAAAAAAATGATATGTTTATCACATTGTGTATCATTTGTGTATCGCATATGTATCATATTTGTATCTAATGTGTATCAATGTATTCGATGTATACCTGTGTGTGAGATGCATGCGTGATACATGTGTCGCAGAAGAATTTTTTGATCTCGATTTTAACTACGAATTTTGATACCAAATCAGTCCAATTCACCTCCAATCTTCCTCAAATTTTGTATATTGACTCATTTATATGTTTTCAGTGAATTTCAACTATACCCATTGAAAAAAGTTCTTTTTTGCTTAGATTTTTGGAATCTTGTATCTATATTTTTTGTATTTCATCGTCTTATTTGCTACCTCATCCATAAAATTTCCTTTCCGTCTTGCCTAATGTTGCTAATCATGCTTAAACATATGGAAGGAGATCTTTGCGTATGATTCTTGGAGAGAAAGAACCTTATTTATTTGTGTTTTCAATTTTTATATATGTTTGGCTAGTTTTGTAAGTATATGAATAATTGCTAGATGTGAGTAAGTTGGGACTTATTTGGGATATTTGTGTAAGATTCTCTTTAACTTTTACATTTATAAAGATTCAAATTGGGGGCTCCTCAAGTTTGGGAGACTAGGAACTCTCCCAAAGTGATCATACTCAAGAAGTTATGAATTTCTATATTATCTGTCGGTTAACCCATTTTCTATCCATATTAAATATGGGTCGATTCGGATAATTTAATCATTGTTACATTATTCATTTTTTACCCGTCCATATCCGACTTGACTCGCCCGTTGTTGCCACTCCTAATTGTAACTAAATAAATAAAAAATCTATTGTTTGTCAAATACTCTTCTGGGAACTTTTTTTTTTTTTTATATGTTGCTTTAGTTATCTATCTATCTAACTATATTATTATAAAAGCACAAATGTTAGGAAGCTAAATGTTGAGAGACGAAAATATCCTCGACAAATTGATCGACCTTTTTTGCCCTTTAAAGTTAATATTTCGGGTTTGTAGGAATTTAATGATGGGTGTAAATATAATTTTGGGTTAGGACTAAGTAACATTTTTCTGTTGGGACTAAATCTATTCTAAATATATAAAATTTTCCTTCAACGAAACAATTCCATAATTGGATAAAAAAGACTCCTTTATACCCACCCTAATCAGATTTTGATTTCTACTACCAATTGCCTTTGAACTCTAAGAAATCAACCCGTTCAAACCAAAATAAAATAAGACAAGAAAAATTCTCCAAGCTATATTTATTAGTCAGTTTATAATCTAACCATAATAAGCACAAAACGTAATACGCTTGGCTTAATCATCATTTATTTATTTATTTTTAAGATTTGAAATGACAATATTTTTCTTCAATAAAATTTAATTATGAAAATTGAGATCAAACACCACAGGAATATAACTACGTTTAATTCAATTTTTTGGCATTATTATTCATTTATTAAGATTAGTGTTTCTTTCGATCTTCTTACTCAATATAACTGAATAAATGAATGATTATATAGAAAATTAATATTGGAGTGAAAGAAAGTTAAAAGAATCAAACAGTTAGAATACATTGCAAATGATTCAAAACTAAAATTTGATGTAAGAAATATATTTTACAAATCAAAATTTTGATTGTGCAGCTTTAGGACGTCATTTAAAACTTTGTGAACTATTTTAGAGAAAATATTAAATAGATATTTTAGAAAAAAATCAATTGCTTCCATTTTCATATTGCTCTAATTTTGTCTTAAAATAGTCTTTTTGCATTAAAAAAAGAAAATTGATTTTTTTTTTTGGTAACTAAATTTATTTTATCAATCATCCTGAAGAAACACGTAACCATAACTAAGTGATCACAACTTTTATCTAGATACATCTCGGCTATTCAAATAGCATCCCTAGCAGAAAGCTATTGCTAAAACATAAGTTGTACTATGTTCCTAACTCCATGCGGAGCTCTAAGATTATCAATATATGCAATTTCTCTAGCAATATTATTCAGTGGTGGTGCTAAATATTAGGAAGCAAAATTAGTTATTTGGGATGAAACACTTACTGGGAACCTTACATAAAATTCACCTTTTACTATAGAAAATGAATGATATCCTCTTACATTGGTCCAAAAATAATTGCATATTTGCTTGTGTACTGCAATAACAGTAAATAAAATATATAGTCAAATAATTTTAAGTGTTGGATTATATTTGATGCAACATATTTTTTTACGTTGACTATTATATGTCGCATTTTCAAAGGATATCAATTACGACAATAGGGGTTCTAATCATAACAAGGAGCCAAAGTATCACAAGGGGACAAACACAAAAATAATCGTATATAAAGAAGTATAAGGTAAGATATGATTATATTTTTATTTATATATTATGAATACATATATCATTTGCAGGTTTAGATAATGGTGTCGAATTATTTTAAATTCAAGTATAATGTAAGTGTTGTAACTTTTGAAGATTGTTACGTTTTCTTCCATATCAACTGTTACATTCATATAGATAATATTTTAGGTAAATTTAATTTTTGGTTCCTTATTATCTATAAACAATTAATTGAGAATTTACGTGAAAAATATGAACGACAATATTTTAGCGATCGAAAATTAACGTGAAATTGTTATCGTGCAATGCACGTTCATAGAAACTAGTACTATATTAAAAGCACGATGGCCCTTAGCGAAATGTCGTTTACCTTTTTTACCCTCTAAAAATAGATTTCACAGTGGATAGAGTTGTAATTTAAATTATTTTCCTATTAATTAAGACTTTTAGATCAACTAAAATTTTAAATATTAAATCTTTTCTTATTAAATTAGGTAAGAGGTCCTAATATCTAGGACTCTCAATTCCCACTCAATTAAAGTTTTCCGAAACGTCTTTACCATTTGAGAATATAAAATAAACAAGTCAATGACTTATATAAATTTTAACATTGTGGCTCAAGTAGTCTCCTTTTGATTTTTACATAAATATAATTCAATTTAATAAACAAGTAATAAAACTAATTTAACCCAAAAAAATCTTTGAATCAACTGATTTGTTAAAATTTAATTTAATTCTTTTTCAAATTCATCATATAAATCAGCTTATTATTTTAACTATGTAATATAATTGTAATTTCTTTCATGTTATAGTAAAAATTTAAAACTGGGGATGAGATAACATTTAGGTTTGAATAAAAAAAAATTAGTTCCTTTAATATTGGGAATAAATAATTAAGTTTTTGAACTAATTAACAAATTAATTAGCAAAATGACCAATTCAATTATTTTCTACGTTCATCATATAAGCAGAATTTATTTTTCACATTGACAAAACTCTTAGGATATACTTGTTTTCATAAGAATAGTATTGGTGGTGAAACAAATCAGAAAAAGAGCAATACTTAGAAATAATAAGGATGAAACAATAGAAGATAATATTTATAAATAATTTTTCACTAATTACTTTTCCTTTTCCTTTGCATTTGTTCCAACAAATGATCTTTTCTATATTTTGACACATTAAGTCAATGAGAATAATAAAGCTAATGAGTTTATACACACAATTCACAAAGATTCAAAAGTAAAAGATCAGATTATTTGTCCAAAATTGATAAATATGCAAACTTGAAATAATAAGGATGAAACAATAAAAGATAAAATATATACCAAATAGTAGGAAATTAATAGTTATTATTAATATTAATATTAATATTTGTATTTATTTCAACAAATAACAACTCCTTATATGTTTTATATATTAATTTTATATTATAAAAATATTAAGTTAATATTAGTCATCTTAGACTTTATATTGTCACTTATGAAGTTTGAGATAGCTAAATGAGATTAATATTTATTATTTTTATGACTTACATATTTTTTAATTTTATAACTTAAACGCATTATTTGATAATATCCATGTAATTTTTAAGACCAAAATGTCAAAAGTAAAACAAATGCCATGATGTGCTTCATTTTAGGCCTCTCCAAGTTTAAAGGAACTCTTAAGAAAAATATCCAAGTTCTTTGGGAGGCATTATACGGTTATAATTGAAGAAATCGATCAAATAAAAGTTCTTTAATTTTGGTTTTTTGACTCGATTTTAGTCTAAAGATGTGTATGATACGAAGGAAAGTATTATTCATAAAAATATTTTTTTTTTTTTTGAAAAAATAAGTAGCTTTGTTACTTATTTTCTAGTATTCGATTAGCAAGCAGAAAATATTATCCTAAGAGTATTTATATATAATATATGCAAATATTCAGGAAACATGTGAGTGGGGAAGGGAATAAGAGTTCGGGGTTCG